GCCTCTGCATGCGGGCCCGCCCCCCCGCGACATCCATTTCCCTCCCGCTGCTGCAGCGCTGCGTCCCGCCGCGGGCTCCGCTCCCGCAGCCGGTAAGCTGTCCCGCCTCCGCGTGCGGAAACGGCCGTGCAGGCCGGGCGAGCCAGCGTGGTCAGCTAGCCACCTCTTCGTGCTAGCCACGCCGCGGGGTAGGCACACAGAACAGCAGTCCTGACTTGCCAGTTAATGCCTTTTCCATTGACCACGTTCTCTTGGAACAGGCCGCACAAGGCAGAGGGGTCTGGCAGGGCAGGACGTCTGCGGGCCGGGGCTTTTGTAAGAAGGCTCTTCTCTTGCAAGTGGGGATTTTTAGCTGCTGGTTTTACTGTGTGCTCTCGGCTGACCAGGCAACCGAACTTCATTAGGGTCACGCTTTTACACATCCGTTTCATTTATGCGATAGAGAATATGACTAAGTATGTTCTACGGAGAGTATCTGATATTTAGAGATCTTCGGAAAAATCATTTTAAGAGAGCAAGATTCATAATGCTGGAACTCAGTCAGGCCTTGCGAGTGCCTGTGCCTTTGCTCCGTCTCCCAGGAGTGTCCGCAGCACCGGGGCTGTTCTTCTGTATTCTTTAAATGGAAGAGTAACTGAAAAACATATGATTTTTGAAATCAATGTATGTTTTAATGAACTGATTCATAAGATTAGTTATTGATTAAGTTCAAAGAGCCCTGTTTTACAAAAGTAACTCAAGGTCACACTTGTGTTTTCAGAAGAAGAAAGAATGTCACAAAAACATCTGAAAGAAGCCTTTATCAGCAACTTAAATGGAACTAGTTTGCTGGAAATTTCACTAGGTTTGTCTCTAGCTCCACTCTGCCTGCTTTGCAGAGGACTCCTCTTGATTTTATATTACCTGCACTATGGGAAACCTTTAAGTTCAAGGAAGTACAGCCTGCTGCTAGACTTCCTTGTGCTAGTATCTCCTCTCCTCTTCTCCTGTACAGTCTTGTCTCCAATCATCTTTTTCATGCCAACTATCACTGCAGCCCTCTGTGCTGGAATATTTTCTAAAATATACAGCCAAAGAAAACATGGGACCGGAGTGCCTTTTAGGCAAATTGTAAACGACTTCCAGAAGACATATTTGGATCCAGAATACATTCCAGCAATAACAGTGTTTCGCGTCTATGTCAACATGTGGACATCAATCAGCATTTTAGCAGTGGATTTCCCGCAATATCCGAGGCGATACGCCAAAGCCGAGACCTATGGAACAGGAGTTATGGATTTGGGGGTTGGAGCTTTTATTTTTGGTAATGCTCTCGTCTGTCCTGAAGTTAGACAAAAGTCTTACGGGACACAATCAAAATTTTCCAATCTGGCCAGGCAGTTCTTCTCTGTTTGGCCGTTGATTTTTCTTGGCGTTGGACGACTGCTTAGTGTTAAAACTATAGAGTATCATGAACATACTTCAGAGTATGGAGTGCACTGGAACTTTTTCTTTACCTTAGCATTTGTGAGGCTTGCAGCATCTCTACTGTTAGCCATATTTCCAAAAAATAAATCTTGGATTGTTGCTATAAATCTCGCTGTACTTTATGAGCTTATTCTCAACACTACCTCTCTGAAGACGTTTATCTTGCATGGGAGCAATGGCAGAGATACTAGGGTTGGCTTTTTAAATGCCAACAGGGAAGGCCTTCTCTCTCTTTTTGGATATCTTGCCATATATATGGCGAGTGTCCAAGTGGGACTCTGCCTGATGAAGTGCAGAAACTCAGTCAAAGGCTGGACGGAAGCAGTGTGTTTCTTACTGCTGACAGTTCTCGTGCTCTTCCTATTTCTTAATGTGTCGCAAGCGTATGCGGACCCTGTGTCCCGCCGGATGGCTAATCTCTCCTACTGCATATGGGTGGTGGCTCACTGTCTGGCATTCTTTATCTGTTTTGTAGCAACTGATCTCATGTTGGTGTTCGCAAAGCTTCTTGTGAAGGGGTCCAGCGTGCCCTGTTGTTGGAACATTGTAAAGCCCCCTAATACCAGTAAAAAGCATGAAACGGAGGCCGCACCTGGGGGAAGGGAAGGCAACCTGTCACACATTTGCCTGATTACTGCTATTAATAAAAATCAATTACTGTTTTTCTTGCTAGCAAATGTTATGACTGGTACTGTGAATATACTGATAGATACAATCCACAGCAAGACTGCATTTACATTATGTATACTACACTTGTATATGTTTTTTAACTGTTTAATTATGTATATATTGCATGCCAAAAATATAGTATTAAAGTTCTGGTGATTCCACTCTGTCTTAAGTGGACTAGTTGAACTTTTGTTTGCTGTAGTTGAATGATAGTATTTTAATGAATGATAGTATTGTTATGTAGATGCAATAACTTACAACGTAGTATAGCTTTTAGTATTGATTATTTTTTAATGGTTTGTTTCACGAAATTATACAGTCAGTGCTGTTACCTATTGGAGCTGTTACACGTTTTCCTGAAAACTTACGTTTTGAGATTTTTTGCTGAATACTCCTGCTGCTCCTATAAACGCTCATGGTATTTAGTTAGTGAACTGTGTTCGTACCCGACTGCTGGAAGAATTAGATAACAATGTATAGAGTAGAAGCCAGATGAAAAGTAAGAAAATGAGTAATTACATAGAGAGAGACTCAGCTGTGTCAAGATTTACCTAATTAAGGCCCTTAAATAATAGATAAGAATAATTCTTTATATAAAATGTATTGAATAAGGGGGTACTTTAAAAATGTTTTGGCCCCAGTCCTGGAAAGACTTATGCATATGCTTGACTTTGATGGGAATAATTGTATGTGGAATGTTAATCATATACTGAAATCTAAATTAGCCTTTGAATTAAAGCTAAATTTTATTTTCATCCTTACTGATGAATATAAATGAAGATCCTAGATAAAAGTGTGATGCTCTGAAGGATAAAACTCAACTGCAGCTGAATTCATAAAGCAGTTGTTGGAATCTGTAGTGCAGATAATGAGCAGTGCAGCCTTTTATAAGAAAATACGAATATCCAAAACTAATTCACCCCCAGCCTGCATACCAACATGTTGTGACAGCTCATCTTTAGGACAGCTGTAAAATATGGTCTCCAGCTCTACTTTAAAAGTACTCAGGGCCCACCTACTTGTCTATAAAATTATTTTAAACAGCAGCTCATTTAGTACTGTATTTTGACAGCTGAGATGTCTTCAAGTGGGAACATTCTGTATTAATTTTTATTAGCAAACAGCATGGAAATGGAAAGAAGCTTGACATGGTGGGTCAGGGTACCAGCAGAGTATTGACAAGAGATGTGTTCAGATTCTCTATAAGAGTCTTCCTGCAAGCCCAGAGCAGAATACCCTTTTTTGTTCACTTTCCTAACTGTGGTAGTTCTTCCTGACCTCATTAAGTTGTTGAGAAGAGAAACACATTTAAAGATTGTGAGGAATTCAGTAATGTCAATAATAAATACTTAAGAAGTAGAATACAAATGGCAGTCGATGATAGATGTCTAATGTCACTGGAGTTACAGCAGTGCACATGGGCTGTATTTCAAATTTTTCCTTATCTATCAAAGGCAATGAATCATTAAACCTATGGAGATTAAGCCTCTAAATCAGATTCCTTAAGGCAGACATGCTGTGGAATGTCTTTAAATTTATGAGGTTCTCTTAGCTGTTGGCCAATGGAAAGGTGAAGTCTGAGGATTATAGGCTGTGGCCGTGCTGATTTCATGGCTATTTACTTCCCAGTTCTAGCTATATAGTCTTCAGAATTAAAGAAAAACAGCCTGTATTATCCTGAGGACAAATGCAACTAATTGGCAACAGTGTCTTATAAGCAGTTGTCACTGTTTATAGCAGAGTTTTCTGTTAATTGGTGTATGTATTAATTTTAAAACATTTTCTAGCCTTGCCTAGGGAAGAAAGGCCTCCATCATGAACTGAATGGCACTACTCATGCAAAATTACTCATGGATATTAATTTTTTAAATATTTGAAGCACAAGATCTGCAATGAGTTCTGCCTGTGAGCACAAGTCTATCAATGTGATTCAGAATTAAGGCATTAACTGGGTGTGACAAAGCGGAGTTGAGTCTGGACAAGCAGCAAACTATCTAGATGCCAACTCCATTTCGTGAAGCAAAAATTACGTGGGAGGCCTGCTGTGCCTGTGCAGAGCACTGTTAGCTCCGCACTGGCAGCGGGCTGGCAGGCTCCAATTCCAGGAGTGGAGCTGTGGTGTGCAACAACAGCGCTTGCCAACAGAGGGGACTGTGGTGCACAAGTAACAACGAGAGTGAGAACAACCCGCTTCTCTCGACAATGGCGCAACACCCCATCGTGAGGCCATGTCCTGCTTTTAAAGCCGAGTAAAGTTGTTCACCACTGAATTAATGAGAGACAATTAATTCTCATTGCTTATTGTCGATAACAAATGCGGCAAGTTCTGCCCTGAAGCAACCAGCATAGTTATTAATGCTGAATGTTTAGACTATGAATAGCTACAGATAATTAACCATGCTTCTGAAAGAACCAAGAAATGCAAGCAAGCGTTCTTTGATCGCGGAGTCTGTATGAGCAAGCGGCACTGTAATGAGTTTGAAAAGATGCGAGAGAAGTTAACACTATGACACTGCTGTAGACACTTTCTCCACACACACCTCAAAAGCTGTTAGTTCAGTGGTTGGTAGGAACACAAACACTACATATCATTTCACTTTGGGGTGTGTTTAGACGAGAAGCTTGTACAGATCAAAGATATATATTTTAAAAAAATCAGAAACTTATTTAGCCATTACACTAGTAAGACTAAAATGTTTCAACTATAGCATGACACTGACTTCAAGAGGACTGGGAAAACATAAATTGTTTTGTCTTTGCTGCCATAATTCCACCAGATGACCTTTTTTGTAGGGCTGCATGATAGAAACAATATGGTGGGAGAGCAGAGCTGATTACATTTATCCTTAACCTTGTTATTTGTTAAACATTAGTAGCTTCTTATCGAATTTAATTATTTTTAGGGATCAACTCACTGGCATGCCTTCCTTTCGAACCCGGTAGTGTCTCTTTTGAAGTCAAATGTTACAATAAAGATTTCAGGCAGTATCCTATTTCAAAGCCATTATGGCCTAAAGAACAGGTATTTCTTCGAGGCGAAAGAGGAACATGCAAATTAATGGCACGAAGGGGCTGTCTGTCTTTTCACTGTTTTGTAGATAACAAGCAACTTGCATGTTCTAGCAGCTTTAAAAAAACACCTTTTCTGTGGCTAAAAATTACATGAAATGTAACGGTGCTTTTCATACATGGTTTATGTACCTTTAGAATACCAACTGTGGGATATTGCTGTTTTGTCGATGTGATCCAACCACGCTCTGAAAGCAGAGGGGCAGAGGTGACACAGGAGCCCACAAGCTGAACGGACCCTGCAAACAAAACATAGGCTTATCGCAGTTTGGTGTGCTCATGTTACTATAATGTGAGAAACTATCCCTCCTTACAAGATGTCATCTTTTTTGCTGAAGAGGAAAATCAAGAAAATACATGAACCGCAAACTGTGCAGCGATGCGGCTCTGCACAATGTTTCTGTCAGAGGTAGAGATCTTGCATGAGGAGTTCCAGTAATTTATACTCCTCCACTAAAGATGGTTTTTATGCAGAAACAAGAAAAAAAAAATCCTGCTCCCTAATTGCTTCCCCTGCATTTTCTTGTGAGGACTTTAGTAAATAACAAGAATGAACAGATCAACCGTTTTATTTAATAGTTCAAGAAAGGCTATGGGGTTTTTTTTTTGGCTGCCTAAATTAAGCAGCCACAGGATTTCTAGTTGGTTGCACTAGGGTGCTGAAGAAGCCAACAGCCTTAAGTCAGAGCCTATAAGTCTGATGCCTTACCTGGCACGAAATCGGCGCAGGGAAATCTGAGGCTGCACTTTGATGCCTGGGCTGCCTGTGAAGCGCAGGCGTTTGATGCGTTTTTGTTAGCTTAACGCTCCCCGTCGGCCTGCACTCGGCTGCACAGCAAAATCTGTGCCGAGGCCATTTCCACACATGGGCCCCGATACGCTCCGGCCCTTTCCCACTCCAGACAGCGACGGGTTTTCATCCCGCCAACACTTTGGGATTTAACCTTCACCCACCCCCTCAGTCCCACCAGCTGCACCTCACGG